CTTAAAAATGGATTGATATAAAGGCAAAATTGCAAACAGACAAGAAAAAAAAATGAGAGGTCTAAAGAATTCAGAATGGCTTCAAGAGAGTTTTTCACTGAATTCCACTTTACAAAAGAGGTGCTTGAATGGGAAGTAATAGATCAAATGATGAAAGAAAGGAATTAGAGAACAAGACAGAATGACTACAAGCAACAGATAGCCCCTCTAAAGGAGTTCAGACCTTCAAAATCTGATGAGCTGCACATCCCAGAGTGCTAAAGGAGTCTGCAAATGTAATCCCACAGTGCCTTCTGTAATTTTTCAAAATTCTTGGAAAACATAAAGTGCTGCAAGAGTGGAGGGAGTTGGCCCCCAGTAAAGTAATGACTAGTGACTAGAGATGAGGGTATTTGTATTTTTATACAAATACGAATATCCATGCACAGCTGGAGTTAACGAGGGTTAACGACTGTCCACTCACACGTATGTTGGCACCGGCAGCGCCTCCCTTCCAGTCGTTCCGGAGCACTGCTCGGCTAGCCACTCGGCAGCCTTGCAGGGGAGACCTATTCTCCCTCTGCCAGGAGTGGCTAGATGACTGGGAAGAGAATGGCGATTGGAAGGATGAGCGGGGCCAGCAGCGGCAGTGGACATGTGAGTGGATGGGCCAGACCCTTGTTAACTCCAGCTGCGTGGGGATATTTGTATATAAATACCCTATCTCTACTACAGTGGGGTCTCTACTTAAGAACTTAATCCGTATTGGAAGGTGGTTCTCAAGTTGAAAAGTTCTTATGTTGAATCTGCATTTCCCATAGGAATGCATTGAAAACCATTTAATCCGTATCTGCTCTTTTCCGCCCATAGAAACAACAGTGGAACCTCTACTTAAGAACTTAATCCGTTTTAGAATGGTGTTCTTAAGTTGAAACGTTCTTAAGTTGAAGCAAAATTTCCCATAGGAATGGACTGAAAACCAATTAATCCCTTCTGGCTGTTTTTTTGTTATGTAGAGGTGCGTTCGTACATTGAAGCATTAGCTCCCATAGGAACTAATGCAAAGCTGGTTAATACGTACTCTACCACTAGGGGGAGAATTTTTTTTTAACCTAAGAGGACCTAAGGTTAAAAAAAGAGCAGGAAAGGTTTTTTTTCCTGTTCTTATCTTGGATTTCTGTTCTCAAGTAGAAGCAAAATTTAGCAAATGGAGCTGTTCTTAAGTTGGATTGTTCTTAAGTAGGGACGTTCTTAAGTAGAGACCCCACTATACAATCTTCAAAGCTGAATTTACAAGCTCGTGAGGAGTGTTTTTTTAATTAATTTTTTTTGAGTTCTCATTTAGATGAGATTTTAAAATGCAGCTATATGTTCTAGTTCATACCATAGCACCAAAGCACAGATATTGTTCTCTTTTTGCGTGCTAAGCTTCCACATACTTCTGTAAGTCTTTTATTTTTCTAGGTCATTTACACACTTAATTACAAAAAGTGTTCTTTATACAAAGCCATGCAGCTTGTGGAATCCTATAAAATCAAAATAGTGATTCCTTGTTTAGAGGTAGAGTAGTGGCTGGTAAATGTACCAAGTGATGTTGACAATGGATGAAAAACATCAGAATCCTGGCCATTTGCTCAAAATGTTGCTTCTGCTGACTGAAGAGAATTTGAAGACATACTGATTTTCAAAATTCTTTAGGCTTACCAAGGCACACATTTAGCTTATCACATGCCTTTCTTTCTGTGAACAGATAATGGACAGTTGCTTGTTGTGGGTTTTCCACGCTGTTTGGCCATGTTCTTAAGGTGTTTCTTCCTAACGTTTCACCAGTCTCTGTGGCTGGCATCTTCAGAGGACAGGAGTCAGAACTCTGTGCTCTGGTGCAGTTTGTTGGATAGTTAAGTATTTATAGCTTGTGAGATCAGCTTTTGCCCTTTTCAGGAGATTGGGGTATTATGGTGATCAGCATGTTTTTTGTTGTGGGTGTATTGTTGTGATAAGGGGGAGAGATGATCTGTTACTGTGATTGATGGGTGTCATTAGCTGGTCTTTTGTGTGCAGTGATCACTGGTCCTTGCAAAAGATCATTGATCTTTTGCAGGCTGTATTTTTTTCAGTGCTGGGAGCTAGGCTTTTTAGACTTTCTTCTTTTTTGTTGAAGCTCTGCTGGTGTTTGTGGATTTTAGTGGCTTCCCTGTGCAGTCTAACATAATACTTGTTGGTGTTGTCCAGTACTACAGTATTTTGAAATAGAATTTCGTGTCCAGCTTGTTTCAGGGCATGTTCAGCTACTGCTGATTTTTCCGGTTCTTTTAGTCTGCAGTATCTCTCATGTTCTTTGATTCTGGTATGGATGTTGCGTTATGTAGTTCCAATATATACCAGGCTACAACTGCAAGGTATTCAGTATATTGCAGTGGTGAGGGGGTCCCTTTTGTCCTTGATGGTAACATTTGTTGTATTTTTGTGGTGGGCCTGAATACTGTTTGTACAGTAGGTTGTTTTTTCAAAAGTTTCCTTATGCGGTCCATGACCCATTTGATGTATGGCAGAAATACTTTTATTTGTGAGTGGCTGTTCTTCCTTTTCAGTTTGGTGTTGCTTTCTTGGTTTGGTGGCTCTTGTGATTTCATTCTTGGAATAGCCATTTGCCTGTAGGGCCAAATTCAAATGGTTGAGTTAGGTGCTGAGAAATTGAGCTTCACAGTTCCGATTTGCAGAGTCTACCAATGTTTTGATTATGCCTCTTTTTTGTTGTGGGTGGTGGTTGGAGTTTTTGTGTAGGTACCAGTCTGTGTGGGTGGGTTTTCTGTAGACCTTGTGTCCCAGTCGGAGGTCAGTTTTGCGTACGACCATGACATCTAAGAACTGGAGTTGGCCCTCTATTTCTTTTTCCATGATGAATTGTATATTTGGGTGGATGCTGTTGAGATGGTTCAGAAATTCTTCCAATTTTTCTTCACTGTGCAAAGGTGTCATCCACATATTGGAACCAGACTGTGGGTGCGAGGGGTGCCGAAGCCAGAGCCTGTATTTCTAAATGTTCCATGTAGAAGTTTGCTATACAGTGGTGCCTTGACTTACGAACTTAATCTGTTCCGGAATGGTGTTCGTAAGTCAAAACGTTCATAAGTCAAATCATCATTTCCCATAGGAATGCATTGAAACCTGATTAATTCGTTCTGGCTGTTTTTTGCAAAACTGGTTAATCAGTCCTCTATCACTAGGGGGAGAATTTTTTAAAAAACCTAAGATGACTTAGGTTTAAAAAGGACAGGAAAGGAGGGAGACACAGAGAGAGAAGACAATGGGGGAGGGAGAGAGTTTGGAGTCTAAAACACATGCTAAACCCACACATTTTACACCAACATACAGTGGACCCTCGACTTACAGACAGCTCGACTTACAGACTTTTCGAGTTACAGACTTCTCTGGCCGCAAAATTTAGATTCGACTTGCAGCCGGAGAATCGACTTACAGACCAGAAAAAACCCAAAATGGAACAAAAATAGAATAAAAACTGCCAGTTATGGGATTAATTGGTTTTCAATGCATTGTAGGTCAATGGAGATTCGACCTACAGACTTTTCGACTTGCAGCCACCGTTCCAATACGGATTAATTCCGTAAGTCCACTGTATGTTAAACCAAGCCAGTACAGACCCTTGCAGAAACTTTTCTGATTTGCAAGGGAAGCATGCAGGAACCATAGCAAAAGCACAGAAAACAAACGGAGCAGATCTGAAATGCAAAGAGAACGAAGCAAGAAAGCAATGGAAGCATGCAGGAACCATTGCAAAAGCACAGAAAACAAATGGAGCAGATCAAAAATGCAAAGAGAATGAAGCAAAAAAGCAAGGGAAGCATACAAGACACATCGAAAATGGGGCAAAACCCAAAAAACAAACACACCCCCAAGACCCATCACAGCACAGAAACATAACCCCCCCCAGCCGAAAACCACGCTGCAAAAATATCCAGAACAGCTTTTAAAAAGTATAAAGCAGTGCCTTACCTTAGCAGGCAACCTCCTTGCATTGCACACTCTCTAACTGCCGGGGAAGCATACAAGACACATCGAAAATGGGGCAAAACCCAAAAAACAAACACACCCCCAAGACCCATCACAGCACAGAAACATAACCCCCCCCAGCCGAAAACCACGCTGCAAAAATATCCAGAACAGCTTTTAAAAAGTATAAAGCAGTGCCTTACCTTAGCAGGCAACCTCCTTGCATTGCACACTCTCTAACTGCCGGGGCAAAAGAGCTACAAAGAAGCAGCCTCATTGCCACCTACAGTTAGCTATTTGAATTTCCCGCCCTTTTCCCCTGCCTTTTTGTGTTTGTATGTCAAAGCTCCGTTCGGAAGCCAAAGCAAAATTATGTGAACGAAGCTGTTCGTAACTCAAAATGTTCGTAGGTGAAGGCGTTCGTAAGTCAAGGCGCCACTGTAACCGGGCTGAGGGGGCTCCCCATGGCCACTCCATCTGTCTGTTCATAGAACTCATTATCCCACTGAAAGTAGCTGGTCGTTAGCCAGTGTTGGAAAAGGGCCTTGATGTCTTCTGGAAAGATCTGCTGGATGAGTGTCAGAGTGTCCTTTATTGGTACCTTGGTGAATCGGGATACAATGTCAAAGCTGCTCAACCCCGGGGTTGAGTTTTAGGGTGCTGATCTTGCTTATGAAATGTCCTGAGTCTTTGATGTAGGATGAGATAATGGATACCTGCTTATTCAGTGGAACAGGATGAAAAGAAATGATAAAATGATTAGAATCTGATAATGAAATGTTAAACTTCTAGGTGTTCTTCTGGGTGTTTGCTGAGTAGGAAAATCACTCTAGTCTTCTCATGCTACTTAAATGTAAATTATGTTGGCATTCAATCTTATGATCAATCTCTCTAGAAGTGAAGGTCTCAGAGAGCCCAAAATATTGTAAAACTCTTAGAGTAGCTAACTACCACAGGATTTTGATTTCTTAATACACCGTTGTTTTTTCTGCTCTTTTTGTTCTTCACAGATGATTGTGTGGTTGGAGAAAATGCTTGATAAAATCATTAGCATATTCATTATATTTGTGCTGGTGATAGGCACGCTCCTGCTAGCTCTGCTCCTCACAGCTAAGGTACAGTGTCCCATTAAACAGCATGATTTTTTATATCTGTAAAACTTACTCAGATCTACAGTGCTTAATAATTTGTTTCTGTGTACAACTAGAGTGTGTTGACCTGGCTGTTTGACTTAATCAATGTGATACTTTCTTTTAATATAAATAGGTGACTATATCCTACAGAAATATATCATTTAGTACAATGTAATTCCAAAACTAGAAATTATTGCTATTGAATTTTTGTCCATGGATAGGTAACTAAACTAATACAGCGTTACCTCAGTTTATGAATGCTTCAGTTTTAGGTAATTTTCAGTTTACAAACCGAAATCCATAGAAAATAATGCCCCAGTTTATGTTTTTCCTTTTTTTCCTGCTGTACAAAAGGGTTTCCCCAGGACACATTGCGCCTGGACGTTTCTAGCGCCACTCCCATTCCCAGTGCAATCCGTATTTTGGTTCATAAAATTTCCGCATTACGTAATGTCCTGGAGGATGCATTAATTTCGTAAACCGGAGTACACCTGTAAAAGCAACAAATTACCCTGTTTCCCGTAAAATAAGAACTTACCTGAAAATAAGCCCTAGTATGATTTTTCAGGATGCTCATAATATAAGTCCTACTCCAAAAATAAGCCCTAGTTAAGTGAAATCCCGCCCTCCACCATTGTGCAGCAACCAGAAGATAACATAGATGACATGACTGTATTTGAATAAATGTAAGTGGTTGTACATGACAAAAATAAAGCAACCCCTGAAAATAAGCCCTAATGCGCTTTTTGGAGCAAAAAATCAGGGAAGCAGGGTAGTTAGTTGAAGATAAGGGGCATAGATCAGTAAATCTTCATTACCATTATTAGTTATTTGTAAATTATCTAAATTTTTCATGCAACTACTGAACACTTCCCTAGAGAAGTCAGACCTGGATTTCAGACTCCTAATATGCTATTAGTGTGTAGGATTCAAGGGCTGATCTCCCAGCCAGGGTCCATCTCAAGGTGCACCATCCTTCTGACTGGAAATAGCCACATTTATGGTTCCATAATTGCCTGTTTGCATTTAAAAAGTGAAAGTAGTTGGTAGTCTGTATCATGTTTTAAGAGAAAACCATTCCTCCGAATACTTTCAGGAGCAGCAGCTTTTCCTTTTTTGAAAATTACATTTTCATCAGGAGTGTTCAAGAAGATTGTAGGACCGTGGAAATGTGCAGGGAGCTGCATGTTCCCTAGAAACTATAAGTTGCCTGCTACTAGACTTCTATAATACACTTTTTGTGGGGCTGTCCTTGAAGGCAATTCAGCTTAGTTGGACAAAGTTAGTTGAAGATAAGGGGCATAGATCAGTAAATCTTCATTACCATTATTAGTTATTTGTAAATTATCTAAATTTTTCATGCAACTACTGAACACTTCCCTAGAGAAGTCAGACCTGGATTTCAGACTCCTAATATGCTATTAGTGTGTAGGATTCAAGGGCTGATCTCCCAGCCAGGGTCCATCTCAAGGTGCACCATCCTTCTGACTGGAAATAGCCACATTTATGGTTCCATAATTGCCTGTTTGCATTTAAAAAGTGAAAGTAGTTGGTAGTCTGTATCATGTTTTAAGAGAAAACCATTCCTCCGAATACTTTCAGGCCATTTTGGGTGTACCAGCGGCCATTGTTTGTGTTCCGGTGGCCATTTTTTGTGTTCTGGTGGCCATCTTGGTTGTACCGGCGGCCATTTTGAGAGTCCCGGCGGCCATCTTGGGTGTACCGGCACCCATTTTTTGTGTTCCGGTGGCCATTTTGGAACCGCTGAACAGCTGTTCCCCCATTATAATGCGAGCATGCCCTCGCATTAGCGATGGGGAAATCCGCATCGCAATGCGGATTCATCGTTCAACGGTGCACTCGTTATACAAGGCACCACTGTATCAGTGGGGTTTTCCCATGGTGTCGAGGCATTGGTCCATATTAAATAATCATTTATTAACTTCACTGATTAATACTTCTTTCCTGATTCAATAAAAGCTTCTGCTTTTGATCTTTACTGTCCTCAAAGGGTTTTGGCCCAAGGACTACATACAAGCCAGTCTGAGATCTTTGTTCAATGATGAGCTTTCTTCTCCATGTTGTCCTGCAGAGTCTAATGTGAGTAGGCAGGCATGAGAGAAAAGACCTTCTCAATTTCAACTGTGGAATAACCTTCTTAGAAAGAAGGGTGTGGTCCCATCCTTGCCCATTTTTCAGTAAAAATTTGTAAGCATTTAGAATAGAAAGTTAAATAAAGGCAAAACTGGGATAAAGGCAATATTGATGCTAATTTGGACTCCAAAGGGAGAGTATTCCACATACCAAATACTGCAATTCATAAAGTCTTCTCCAGCTTCTCCACATAGGATACTGTAGTTAATGGTGGAATACAGGAGAGACCCTCTTCCTCCTGTCCATAAGATCTTAATAAGTACAGTATGCAGGTATATATTGAGGAAGATACTCCCTCAGATACCAAAGCCTCAAGTTGTTTAGGAATTGGTAACCATCAGCACCCTATGGGTATTTGTCCTCTGTTTTGTTTTATTCTGTTAAATAGTTTTAATACATTTTATTTTTATTGTCTGCACTACGCCTTAGTTTGCTAGATATGTGTGTGGCAGGATATAAATATATTAATAGATATATGAAATAAATAATAGTATTTTCTGTTCCAAGCTTTCTTTTTTATTCTGTTTTAGTATGTTCTGAACATTATGCATAGAGTTTGCATTAATTTCATTTACCTTTTCCTTAGGTGCACCATGAAAGTGTACATATGATTGAAGTCACAAGCAGCTTGATCAATGAAACAGTAGCCAATCATCCAGAATGGGCCAAGTAAGAATATTAAAATTAATGTGATAGAATTTTAAAAGAAAATTGCATTTATGGTAAGTGTAAATTGACAAAGAGGTTATGGCTCATCTTTAGCTTGAATGTAGCAGGTCCCTGTTTTGGAGAAGGGTGAGGGCTGATAATGTGCTGTGACTTTATGCCAGAATCCCTCATGCCAGCTGTTGCCACTGATTTCCAACCATGTTCATATCTGGACAGTTCTGAGTCACTGCTGGCTCTGTATCTTTTGAATAGCCTCACCCATGACCTCACCCATCACTTGGTCACACCAAAGTATGACTAAAATATTCTATACTGTCTGTCTATGGCTAAAAAGTTCTAACTGGGTACAATGAAGAGCAGACTTAGACAGCAATTTCAGGTCATACATACTGGTAAATAAACTGCAAAGAGAGATTCTTTGGTTTCTTCAGCTGCTTTTTTTGTCAGGAGGAGCCAGATGGAAGCAATTAAGCAGTAAATGCTAACTCTTAGTCATTCCCACAAAGCAGAATTCTTAGTAATTCTTGCTTATTATGATGTGTGAATTAGGCCATAGGGCAAACATATGAGTTTTGTTTTAAGTCATACAATTGTCTGATTTTTCTTGGGGCTTCATGATGGGCCTTGAGATGCATTGTTATGATCACTAAAAAAGAAGAAAAAACTTACATAAAATCCAAAAACAGTGGTGGAGAGGACCTTCATCAACCACTAAAATTGTTGAATGAATATTTCAAACACCAGGCTTCACCCGAAGGCATGCAGAATCAAGTCCACGAGCAATAAGTGGGTACTGGTAGTTCGGCTGCTGCCCTGAGCTCTCTACCGCCTGAGGTGACTGTTTCATTCCGATTAATAGATGGGCTAGCCCAACCCCTAGCTCTGCAGTGCCCAGCCTGATGGAAAGACCTGCAGGATCTGAAAGTCTACTTGGTTTGGATGTTTTAGAGATGCGTATGAATAAAAGTATGATCTTCTCTTGGCATTAGTTTATCTTACATTTATTAGATAGCTTACATTCGCAAGACTTGAGGAGGCACAGGAAATTTATAGCTCTTACTGCAAAGTATTCACAGACCAGCATTGGTGCTTTTGAATTCTGAACAAACTTTGGCTGATATCCTGTTGCTGAGCTCCATCTGGGGAACCTGAGGATATACAAGTGGTAGGGAAAACTGTTGAGGCAGAAGTGATATTTCTGAAGGATATCTGCAGGCATATTGCACAGGAGTAGTGCTGTAAATTGCATCATCAATTGCTGAATCAGATTGCATGATGTGGCTTGCCTTGATGAAATGTCCCGCATGCCTCCACAGATCTAACTTTATGTTACTATGGGTAGAGAATTCTGCTGAACACAAAAGTTAGACTAAGATTCACTTTTGAGAAAAGAGTGAGAAGTGAGAAAAATAGCAGAACTGCTGAATATAACAATAGTAGTAATAATAATGATGATGAATTGTGTTCACTGTAGAAATATCATATTTCCCCTTGACCGATATTAGTCTGACATTGTTAACAAAGTGTACATGTACATATTATAGTTTGGTGGCCAGGAGTTTAAAAGAAACATGTTATTGGACAAAGGAACTTTGGGCTGATTTATCTTTAACAGTAGCCCACCATGTTCAGCTTTAAAGCCACCTTTGAAACTGAAGAGACCTTTAAAACGTAGCTTGGGAATCTGCTGTTCAAAGAGAGTCATGCCCAGCCATATTTCTTTATCTCAGTAATTTGCTACATTACAAAGAATTTGCCATGTAACTGGAATGTTTTTTTTTAAACTAGCTGGCTTCCTGAAGCTCAGGTTATTCAGAAGGCTCTGAATTCTGCTGCTAATAATGTCTATCAATACGGTCGAGAATGGATAACACATAAGGTAAAGTAAAACTAGTCCTTTTGATCATAGCATTTTTCTCCTTTTTTAAAAAATGCTTCTATTATAGATATTAATATCTTTAAAAAATCAGGAATAAAAATTGAATTTGCAGTCTTTTCCATTATGGTCTTAAACCATGGTGACAACACAGCCTTTATGTAACTGTGCTGTGGAAAGACTAGTTGCTCTTCCACCCGTATAACATCACACTTAGAAAAGAAAATATTTAAAAAATCCAGTGAAATAGGCAGATCAATTTTTTAAAATGATCATATAAGTAAAATAATGGGTCTAACCCAGAGAAATATCTTGAGGAAATGCCATGCTCCAGTGGAAGATATTCCTCTGGATTCGGACCCTCACCAAGATCCTGCTAGTTCAGTATAAGTAGGCAAATGCAAAGCAAGCCTAGCCATGCTGTTAGTTGGTAGGTGGCAAGCAGCAAAAGGGAAACTGTGCATGGTTTCTCAGAATAGCATTTTTACTTAAGGATTATGCTTTAAGTTAATTCACTTTAGGTTCCTGTCCACATAAAACAACATTGCTGGAACAAATTTTCACAACTTCTTTGTGAAATACAACAGTCACAGGAAAATATTTAGCATATTTGAGAACCTGAAGTAGTTCCCATTATATCTTTATAGAACTGATCCAATATCTTTTGATTCTGAGATAATATTAATGGCAGAAATCCTGTTGGTGTAACATACACTGCATAAGGCTGATAACAGCATCAGCAGTGGTGAATTTTTGAAAATTAAACATTTGCAACTTCCATCCCAAATTTCCTGAGGGACCTCCCCCATGCATTCACTTTCATGATTTATGAGCTGTGGAGGCCGCAGCATGAAAGGAGGAAGACTTTAGCAAAAATTGTCGCCCGTATTATGAAATGAAGGCCATTTCAGTGGCATGCCTGTTCAGTTTTATCCTGCCTTGTGGACACAAGAGGGATCCCCAAGGCAGCAAAAATAAAACAGAATTATCATGCTGCTTTCTTCCAATTCCTGAGATGGCAGGTTGTCACAGACAAGACAAAGATTAAGGAATACTGTTACTCAGTTGCTCCTTGGTTGTTACTTTTTTCATACCACCCTGAATGCACCCTGTCTTGTTTGGTTTCAAGAAAATAAGCAGAGTTAAGCTGGTAAATATGTGTATGGGAGACCATCAAGGAGTACCAGGGATCTCCACATAGGGCTTGGAAACAATTGTGCTAAAAGCACATGAGAACCACTGCCAGTCTGAACTGTCAGTACTGGATTAGATGGATCAGTTATCTGATTTCAGAATAATCTAGTTTTCTATCTTCCTGTGATTTTCTTTCTTTCTTTCTTTCTTTCTTTCTTTCTTTCTTTCTTTCTTTCTTTCTTTCTTTCTTTCTTTCTTTCTTTCTTTCTTTCTTTCTTTCTTTCTTTCTTTCTTTCTTTAGTTATTTAGGTATTTAGGTATTTAGGTATTTATTTATTTATGTCCCACCCATCTAGTCGTTCGACTACTCTGGGCGGCGTACAGCATACAAAATAAACAAAGTAGCATCAAGATTAAAAAGTCATTCAAGATGGAAAAAAATAAAGAAGATAGATAAAATAGTGCCCAGAGGGAAGGCCTGCCTGAATAGCTAAGTTTTTAATTGGCTTTTAAAAATACCCAGAGAAGGGGCCATACGGATCTCTGAGGTAGATTATTCCATAACCGAGGAGCGACTGCTGAGAAGGTCCGGTTTCTTGTTTTTTCCTTTTTGGCCTCTCTCGGTGTTAGGCTCCTCAGTCACACCTCCTGGCTAGATCAAGTGATACAGGTAGATTTTGGTAGGAGAAGGCGTTCCATCAGATAGCGAGGTCCTAAACCGTTTAGGGCTTTATATGTGATCATTAAAACTTTGAAATTGATGCAGAAGCGCATGGGCAGTCAATGCAGTGCGGCCAGAGTGGGAGAGATATGCTGGTGTTTCCTCACCCCAGTAAGGAGTCTGGCCGCCACATTCTGCACCATTTGAAGCTTCCACACGTAGAGTGCATTACAGTGGTCTAATCTCGAGATTACAAGCTCATGCACTAAAGTGGTGAGTGCCCCAGCATCAAGATAGGGATGCAGCTGGGCAGTCCGCCAAAGGTGGAAGTAGGCGGATCAGACCACTGACACCATCTGGGTTTCCATGGTGAGCGCCGGGTCCAGATGTATCCCCAAGCTACAAACGTCACTCTTCGCGGCTAGAATCACCCCCCAAAAAGAGAGAGTTTCCCAAACTGCTGATGGTGTGGCCACCCACCCTCAGTATCCTGTCTTGTCTGGGTTCAGCCTCAACCCATTTTCCTGCATCCATTGCAGGACAGTCTCCAAGCAGTGCTGAAGGGACAGAGCGGCATCCGCTGTAGTTGATGAAAAGGAGATGTAGAGCTGCGTGTCATCAGCGTATTGATGACACAACGCCCCACATCCCCTGATGACTCCTCCCAGCGGCCTCATATAGATATTAAACAGCAATAGGGAGATTGAGCCCTGTGGGACCCCACAATTGAGGCTTCACAGGGCCCCAAGCTACACTCTCTGAAGGCGGTTCTCCAAGAAGGATTGGAGCTAAGCAAACGCCAGGCCACCAATTCCCAACTCGGAGAGCCTCCTCAGGAGGATACCATGGGCAACAGTATCAAAGGTGGCTGAGATGTCGAGGAGGACCAACAGGGAGATTTTTCCTGTCAGCCTCCCTCAACAGGTCATCAAGCAGGGCGATCAGTGCCGTTTCTGTACCATGGTGCAGCCTGAATCCTGACTGGAATGAATCCAGGGCATTTGTTTCATCCAAGTGCACCTGAAGCTGGTCAGCCACCACCCTCTCCACCACTTTACTAACAAAAGAAACATTGGCGACGGGCCTGTAATTGCCAGTATCGTCTGCCGCCAAATTCAGTTTCTTTCTTATGGGCCTAATGAGTGTCTCCTTGAGGACAAGGGGAACCCTGCCCTCAAGGAAAGACCGATTAATTATTGCTGCTGCCTATTCTGTTGTTATTGGCCTGGCTGCTTTTATTAGCCAGGCCGGACAAGGGTCAAGGGAGGAGGTGGTGGCACGACAGCGATCAAGTGCCTTGTCCACAATCTCTGGTGTCACCAGCTGAAAATGACCAGTTCTCTCTGGGCAAGGCAGAGTACTTGACATCTTTGCTTGACTCACTGTGCCCAAAAAAGGAGAAGGTTCCTGGCGGATGGCCTCCACTTTAGATTTTAAAAATGCTGCAAATTGGTCTGGTGAGATACTAGGGGGGAAGCCCACCACCTAGACCAATTCCGGAGAGGTTGTGAACTTTGCGGAAAAGTTCCGCCTGCTGATTTGAAGCTTCGCTTATCCGGTCAGCGAAGTGTGCTCGCCTAGCAGCCTTTACCTTAGTAAGGTAAAGGTTAATCTCGACCCTGACAGCTACTTGATTCTGAACCGTCGAGTCTCTTCTCCATTTGCACTCTAGCCTTCTCCTAGTTTGCTTCATCACTCTCAGGTCCTGGTTAAACCAGGACGCAGACTGAGCTCTGCACTTGAGAGGCCATTGAGGAGCGATCGTGTCTATAGCCCTGGTGGCGGCAATAAACCATCTGTCAACCAGATGTTCAGATGTCACCACAGACTATTCTATGAAAAAGAAATAGGCTATAATTATTTTATCTAGAGACACGTGGATAACTGCATGTCCTGTGTCCCTAAGACCTGGGCCTGGGCCCAGTTTCATGCGACCCCTTAAGTTACTTTATTTCCTTATAGAGCATAAGCTGCCTTGCTTAATGCGTGGTTGCTTTAGTTTTATAAAAGGCAGAGGTGAAGTTCTGTTAAAAAAATAAATAAACTTCCAGTTTTGAAAAGCAACAACAAAACTCACATGAGGTGAGGATGGAAAGTGAGATGCAGTCTGCAATGGCTCCTGAGAAGTCAACATAGATCCCCGAACTTATCAAAACCTTGACGTGACTTGACTTTTTTGGGTAGCAAAACAAATTTGTTGCTATGGATCCAAACGAGTCCTTCTATGTAGCTTTTTGGATCTCCCCCCTCATTCCTTCTGTCCTCATGATCTTAAAGTTTGCTTGCCTTAGTTTTCCTTTTCTCTATGTTTTGGGCTCCTCTAGATTCAGAAGATGGTTCCCACTCTGGTGATCTTGACCTCTACCCCACCATATGTAGTGGCACCAGCTAACACCACCATCAGTAGCCGCCCCGAGTAGAAGTAGTAAAAATCGAAAAATAAATAAAATAAATAAAAATCTTCCCATTCTATTCATTTTTGTGTATTCCTTTCCAGTTGTTCTGGCAGAAAGCTTCATTTTGTTTGTTTGTTTGTTTTGTAGCTCCATAAAATATTAGGAGAAAAAGTGAACAACACCGCCGTGATTGAAAAACAAGTTCTGGAGCTCTGGGACAGACTATACCATACTTGGTTTGTGAAAGTGAGTATCTTAGGTATGCTGCCATTTTACAGATTCAAGGTGATTTTAATGTTAACAGTTTTATTGATAATAGTCATGGGACCTATTTAAAAAGAAAAGCCCCGTTTAGAGAGCTTGGGCAGATCTCACCATAAAAGACATTCAGGGTTTTTTTATTTTCTAATGTCATTGTATCTTCATGAGAGAAATTAGGTAAAAGATGTATGGGCTAAAGCAGGGAGGGCAAAATACGATCCTCCAGATACTCTTGGTCTGCATGTTTCTGTATTCCCTAATATTGCCTATACTGGATAAAGTGGTTGGAGTTGCAATCCAACAATATGTGGTGGGGGGGCTGCACTTTGCCCACACAGGGGATAAAGGTTCATTTCTGGTACATCAGTGAGCACAAATTGATTTTCAACAGCTCTTGTCTGATAACGTCTTAAGCAGAGTCAATATAGCAGAGTAAATCATAATATGTTTCTTATGTCTATACAGATCCCCTTCTAAATAATTCCTAGAACATTCTAGTCTTGTTCAGTCATATGAAACTGTAGTGAACTGTATCATGTGGGGTGTTCTAATTCCAGCCCCCCTGTCACTGTCGTTGGCTCCCTATATACAGAGGATGATGAATCTGGAAAATGGAAGCCATTGCTATCCACAGGAGTCTATATGTAATTTGTAATTCTGAAAATAAAAGGTCCAAGTCCATGTGGAAATCCCACCTTGAAATAGAAGACCTCTCTCCATACTTGTCACTTTTGACATAGAGGAGGATGATGAAACCAGGGGTGGAGGGGAACACAACTAACATACTCCCCTCTGTGCATGATTATTCTACTTTGAATGACTTAACAGGAGTTTGTGAATAAAGGGTTAATGTTTCTCTCTCGTTTTATAGAATGTTACTCACTCAGGAAGACACAAAGGGCATAAATCACATCTAAATCGTCAGAACAGTTGGCCAGGTGATATGCTTGATTGGCAAGATGTTGCCTCCTTCGTTCATGAGAACATCGAAACATTTCTTTCGGTATGATGTTTTTTATAAGGGCTGACATCGTCTTGCTTAGCATAGTAAGTTGCACTAGAGTAGGCCTCTCCTTAGCTAATTTTGGCAATTTTGTTCCCCAAGTTTTTTAAAATGTTATCTAAAAACAGAGCCTATTCTATTGCATCCCTTGAGGTGCTCCATACATAATCCCTACCCTATTTTTCTGAAAATAGATTAAAACAAGTATATATTTACCATGATGACTCATTGAAAAAATGTTCAACCTAAAAAATTAATTGCTGAAGCAATGTAATAACAGTAGTGCATATTTTAGACTTCATTCCCTAATGATTTTGTTCCTGTGTATTTGAAATCAATTGTTATTTTTAGTTTGAATGAACTATTGTGGTTTCTTAGGCTTGATGCCCACTGTTTTAGGTTCTTATTTTAGATGGCTTCTGTTGAGAACATGTATCCACCTGAAGCAATATGTATTGAAAGCATTTTTACCTGTTTAGGATTGCTGGTGACTAGAGGTTAAATCTTTATTCTATTTCAGATCCTGGAATCCCTCTGGATATTGATGAGTCACAATATGAGTCTTCTTTTCACCACAGTTACAACTTTAATGACAATAGTCTTCTACAGTGGTACTGCTTTGCTCAATTTTGTTCTTTCAATGGTGAGCACCTTTTCTTACTGTTGATGCTTTACAGCAATGGTTGCAAGCCTTGGATCCTCAAACCTCCTTGAACTAAATCTCCTAAAAACTTTCACCACTGAAAGGTTCTGATGGATTGCTTTGTGTTCCGGCATATATACCACATATTTTCACCAAGGGATATGTGCCTAAATTCATGCACTGGACTGCCATTTCCTCAGGACCATAAAAGTGCTGGGTTTTTAGAAGGTTCTTCCTTCCAGGCAGAAGGTGTTTTGTGAGAACTGGGTACTATTCAAGAACTTGAGGCTTGAATAAGGCACTCCCAGTATGGTCTTAAGGGTTGAAAGAAGTTTCCTCCTTATATTTTTATGTGTAGTCTTCTTTAATGACATTTTGAATGAGTTTTGAATTTGTTATGTTTCAATTATAGGAGCTGCATTGAAGGTCTTTGTGTGTGAAAATGGTGTGCAGATATGAATGGGAGACAGACTGTAAAAACAAAGATGAAATTCTGTATTGGTTCTTAGTCATAGTGCAAAGTGAGAACAGTGTTTGGCTGTCCCTATTTATAGGAGGGGGGCTTAGAGCATGTGCGGAGGCTTCTGAGGGACTTTTGGGGGACTATTTCTCCCTGTCTTGGACCTATTTCTCAAAGCCTGTAGTGCCCCACACCTTCCCACATTTTAGGGGGAAATGCTGCAAAACTGCAAAAGCAATTGCAGATTTCTGAAGAACAAAATTTGCCCATGAAATATAATCCCCCCCCCATCTTAGAATTTAAAAGCCAGTTGTTATGAACGGGACGTGACAACTTACCAATAGATATCAGCTGCATTTAATACAACAGGAGCTTTTCATTCCAGCCTGAATTATTTGTTAAATCGTGTGAAACTGATTTGCATTCTTTTTTAAGATAATATTCTCTGTTCTTAATTTAAAATATAATATTCATTTGTTTCCTTCTTCCCTGTTTTGCAGGTGATTTTCCTGACCACATTGTTCTACCTTTTAAGTTCTAGTGATGAATACTACAAGCCAGTCAAGTGGGTGATCAACTTAACTCCTTTGTCACAACCTGGCCCTTCCTCAAATATAGTCAGCCAGTCTGTGGAGGAGGCCATAAGGTATACTATTTACTTTCTTGCTAGTTTTGAAAACCTGTATGTATGGTGAGAAGGGGTAAGCATTGAATGACTTCTGAAGAGTGTTTGTTCCATGAATTCACATTGGTCATTGAAACATTATGCTGACAGAACTCCATTGGCATAAAATTTCAGCAGTGAATTGTTGCAGGTTAAGAAGTCAGCATAGGTGTTTGCTGTATCAAATGGTGTGTGAAAGTAAATAACTACATTGAGTTCTTGACTTGAGTCAAACTGCTGCTAAAATTTATGCCAACGGAGTCCAGCCAGCAGGCATAACTATCAGGATTCTGACCGTTAGTTATTGCAGATGTCAAACAAAACCTGCAACCCTGTTCATTTGGTACAGATAGGCATTTGGTATTTTGAATTGTGCTTCTTGTTATCTGAACATACAGCACTCAGCGACATGTGTCCACAATACAACACTTTGGCTTTAAACTATTTTGCTTTTGGAGAAAAAGCCACTTTTTTTTACACCTGCCACTAGAAAGAGTTTTTCTTAATATTGTGTGTTTGCATTTGTCAGCTGTAAATCTTTCAAGGGCCCCAACTTTGCTGAAAAACTTGAATTTGAAGCATAGGTTCTTAGTCTTGCAATCTGCAGACCCTAGGAATCCTGTAAAGAGTGCCTGAGAGGGACTTGATGTTAGCAGTGCATAGTGCTTTGTGAAAACTAGCATAGAGGATACTTGTGAACTAGAAGATGGAAATCAGTGAAGAAATGCGTAAAAACCTGGAAAATATCAGAACAATCTCTAATATAATAACAGAGGATGTATGCCTCTCTGTCAGAGCCCTAGCTCCAAGGGCATGGCATCTAAACACATGAGGCTTAGCAAGAATACTAAGGGAACTGTAGAGATTTGCATGTGCAAGTAATTTTGTTTTTAAAACATCCATTAATAGTAAAGAAGTTACATTTAAATTTAATTACAATTAATGTTTGAAGTCTGCAGTGTTAACCATTAGTCGCTAAGGGTGGCAAACCTTTAGCACTCCAGATGATTTTGGATTACAACACCCACAATCCTTTATTAGTAAGAATACAGCCTGAGGATTACAGAAGTTATAGTCCAAAGTCTCTGGAGGGCTACAGGTTCACCACCCTGTGGAACATCTTTCTGATGATCACAGAACTGACTGCACAGCTTGCAGTCAGCAGCTTTTGACACTGAGGAAGTCAGAGGGATACAATTTCCTCTTTCCCTTGCTTGGAGCAGTCTTCCCCTGCTAAGGGCCTGGATTACACAGACCCTTCCCTCTGGGAGTTGTAGGGCTGAGTGAACATGAGGGGGAGCATGCCTAGAAGTATAAACTACCATGGATTCCTTCAGGCAGGCCTGGCACAATATGCCATCAGTGACGGCTTTTTAACTTTGCTTGCAGGCTAAGCAGTAGTGTCTTAAATTGTGCAAGAACACAGCTAGTTTCATGTGTATATTGTCAGATAAAATGGTTTGCTACAATTCTTTACAGTTTTTTTTAAGAAGACACATTTGCTGACTTTCAAGAAATAATAAATCCAGTGAAGCTTTTATAAAATGCAGGCTACAGTATAGAAGTCTAGTAAATATAAGAAAAGTGAACAGTATTTGCTTTCTTGGCACTTCTGGGTGTTAAATATTGAACTCCCACGTGTGCTACATTTTTAACTACATGGCTAACCAAGATGTGTGGTATCAGTCCTGAGCTTTGAATAGTGTCTGTACCATCTGAAGCCTAGGCAAATTTACTACTTTCACATATGCTTGAGAGAAAAAGATCACAAGTGTTGGCATTATGTATTTATGTCTATTTTAATGTGATTCATGGTCTTGCAGAAAGGGAAAGTAAGCTCTTAATTCTGCAAATTGTATATAGGTTATAGAGAGGAGATACTTTCATGCATGTTGATATGAAATGGGAAGTATGCATGGCTGCAGTGGGCATGTCCATACAAAAGAGTTTGCATGACCCACACAGGCAATGAAAAGGTTGCCCACCCATCACAGTTCAACTCATCCATGCTGTAGATTTATAGGATATGAGATCATTACATAGTCAGCATGAAAGGACAGCCTGCATCCTCATGGCATATAAACAGTATGTTTAGCTTTTTAACATGGGCACTGTAGACTCCCCACTAGCCAAGCGAAAATAATGAAGGCAGTGCCTTAAGTTGGAGAACCGCCAGAACCCAAATTTCTAAATGTGCTGCTCTTGTAAACATTTTCAGGAATCACATATTTGTCACTTAATGCTGTATATAAGAAATACATTATCTTTGTTAGTACTTAAAATAAGTTGTTAATACAGCATTTTGATAGTTTGGACTAAGTGCTGGATCAAAAAATACATTATTGGCTATTAATCATAGCTCTAAGCTTCCCTCTTTAAAACTTAACTGTGATGGTTCAGATGACAACCATCCATCTTTATTGCTACCATGCAAAAAAAAGTAGCTTTGATAATATTATTCTTAAAACTATCTGAACGGTGCCTAACCTGTCTGGTTTTCTACATGACTTGAGCAGAGATCCTTGACTTTATGTATCTCTGAGTTGCATGCACACCTTTGCCTGAACCATTGTCTTTCCCCTAAGTGGCATGTTCTTCTCTTCCTGAATGCACCAGACCCTTCTTCCCTGAAGCTCCCATTCTGCTTGCTCTGGTGGGGATATTGCACATTACTAAGTTGCATGTTGTCACGGCCTCAGTGCAATTTAGTGTGTGCGATATTTTCACATGAGTGCATGCACACGGGTATGGCTGTGGCTGAATGTTTATTGCAGATTATATTTCTTGACTGAGATGAATGAGTTCTGGAGGAGCCCCACCCATGTCAATAATTTGGCTTTGAATTTGTTGGCCAAAGCTTCAGTTTTCATCAATGTTTTCTGTCTGAGAAACTTTTATTACTTACCTCATTTTCTTCATCCATTATATAATAAACTGCTGTACTCAATGGGCTGAGTTGCCCCCTGATATTTTAACAAAAATCACATTTCTAAAACAATCTTACAGATTTTTTGTGCTACACCAAACTTTCATATAGGTCCTAATTAGATTCGGATAAAATAGTATGTATTATTGAAATTAAGTTATAATTATTAGGCTGAAGTCATTAAATAAACTGTAAAGCATGATGATGGAAATGATAAGGTGATACATTCTTCTGAGAAAACCATTTATCTTCCAGCATATTAAAATTTTGAATGCATAATATGCTTAAGAAAACCACTGTAAATGCTTGATATTATTAACATCATTTAATTGGACAAATTAAATGATGTTGATAATCTGCATGTTCCCAGGCTATGGTTTATTTAACAAGGGCCAGATTCCTGTTGCTCTGCAGAGTGTTATCCTCTGCCCATGTCTCGTGAGAATCACTGCCTCATTATTACACAAATGGAGATCACCCCTATTCAGATGAATGAGGCTTATGTTTGCATAAGGAGATAACTAGATACCTCCTTGCACCGGACCAGAAAATGTCAGTCTACTTGTGTAATTGGTTGTTGAACACATAGATCAAACGAATAGGATTCTGGCCAAGAGTAGGACCTAAAGCATTATTTCATTGTCTCACTTGTGTAATTGGTTGTTGAACACATAGATCAAACGAATAGGATTCTGGCCAAGAGTAGGACCTAAAACATTACAGTGGTGCTTTGCATAGCGAGCGCACCGTTTAACGATGAATTCGCATAGCGATGCGGATTTTGCGATCGCTAATGCGATCGCATAGCGATGTTTTATCGCATTGCGATAGGGGAACAGCTGTTTGGCAGTTCCAAAATGGCCGCCGGAACACCCAAAATGGCCGCCGGAACACCCAAAATGGCCACCAGAACACCCAAAATGGCCACCGGAACATGGGGAAACATCGCAGAACGGTGAGTTTGGGTCATTGCGTTCCAATGGGTTTCCCCGTTCCGTTTAGCAATGTTTCCCCATAGCGAAGGTTAATCCGGAACGGATTAACCTCGCTATGCAGAGCACCACTGTATTTCATTGTCTTGTGGTATGCTGTGTTTTATGTGTACCTATATTTATTTATTTGTTTTATTTAAAACATTTTTACCCTCCCTTTCTCCCTAAAAAGTTCCCAAGGCAGCTTACATCCTTGAAAGTCAATATGTAAAGTTGAAAACAATGAATGTACAATAGTGGTTTACATCATTAAAAACAATATTGTTGTTTAGTCATTAAGTCATGTCCAACTCTTTGTGACCCCATGGACCAGAGCACGCCAGGCCCTCCTGTCTTCCATTGCCTCCCAGAGTTGGGTCAAATTCATGTTGGCAGCTTCGATGACACTGTCCAACCATCTCATCCTCTGTCGTCCCCTTCTCCTCTTGCTGTCACACTTTCCCAACATCAGGGTCTTTTCCAGGAAGTATTCTCTTCTCACGAGATGGCCAAAGTATTGGAGCCTCAGCTTCAGGATCTGTCCTTCCAGGGAGCACTCAGGGTTGATTTCCTTCAGAATGGTTAGGTTTGTTTTCTTTGCAGTCCAGGGGACTCTCAAGAGCCTCCTCCAGCACCACAATTAAAAAGCATCAGTTCTTCAGCAATCAGCCTTCTTTATGGTCCAGCTCTCACTTCCATACGTCGCTACTGGAAAAACCACAGCTTTGATTATGCGAACCTTTGTCGGCAAGGTGATGTCTCTGCTTTTTAAGATGCTGTCTAGGTTTGTCATGGCTTTCCTCCCAAGAAGCAGGCATCTTTTAATTTTGTGGCTGCTGTCTCCATTTGCAGTGATCATGGAACCCAAGAAAGTGAAATCTGTCACTGCCTCCATATCTTCCCCTTCTATTTGCCAGGAGGTGATGGGACCAGTGGCCATGATCTTAGTTTTTT